TGCTAAAGGCGTTCCATGATTCCGAACTCAGCTCGAGAAGCGGCTCGTCTCTGTCTCCAAACTCCAAACCTCTAACCTCTCGGAATCGCAGAGCCGGCGCGTTTCCAGTCGGGTGGGGAAACCGGTTCCCGCAGACACGTTGGACTTTTTCTCTCAAGATTCCTACCTCTTAAATCCAGCTGATTCCTTGAAGTCGGTAGTCCGACTTGTCACACTAGTTCCGAAGAACTTCCAGCAGTGTAGCACTAAATTTATAGGATATTCCTGTAGATCTGAACTCCGGTTTGGTTCGTTCACCTGTTGAGGCCCTAGCTGAGAAAATCCTCGGGACTCAAACGTGAACTCGAACGCGCTGTCGTATCACTCTCAGAGTATGAAACAACGAACGACTCTTAGGATTCCAAGCGTGGCCACAGTCAATATTTTATTGTCATGATGCACGACTAACACGAACGCTCTCGAAACAGCGTGACACTCCTCGTCAACACTCAGGACGATGTGAGCAGCTCAGGAGATCGAGCAAAGTGAAGCAGTCCAGCCACAAGAGGGCGTTCTGATCCTCGCGCCCTCCGGTGTTCGAGAGCCAAACTAGGAGTCCTGTGCCCGAGCTTTGCAGCACGTTGCCAACTTCTCGAGTGGGTAGTCTACGCAGGAAGGCAGAGCCTTGACCTGCACAAAAAAATAAATCTTGCTCCAGAAGGTCGGGACAAAAAAACATATTTACCCTAGGGTTGGGGCGTTCATCCAAATGATGATACGGCGTGTCAGCTGAGCCGTCCCACAAAACTCACATCCGCCGGCTAAGACAGTCTCTACCGCGTTGATCAGAGAAGGTCATATGACATCGAACTTATCGGTTCCGCTGATCGACAAGGGTACGTTGATCTACTCCGAAGAATTATCGGAATGAGACGAGAAACTCTACTGCTTGTCTCTGATCCGTAGACTGAGTGATTTCATTCAAAGTCTCGATCCCAATAAATTTTAACACATGAAGGATAAGACCCACAGCATGTGAACCATGCGTTTCTTACGCATCGAGGAACTTCGATGGTTTTGGTTTTCAAAGAATCGCCCAGAACGAGCTCAAGAATCGGCTTTCGCTAAAATCAACATCATTAGACGGAAGATTCATCCGCAGAATGATTTATCCCGGCTAGATAGAGCGAAGGGCTTCTCAAGTGGAAAGGAAAAAAATGAATGCGATGGTCTGATGGCCGCACTCCAGCAGCTGCAACCCAATACGAGCCAGCCGTCCCAGGGTAAACAGTGGGTAATAAAGGCCCTCCTTGACATATGGCGACCTACCCTGTGGGGGATATTATGTATTTATTACCACTGGGAATTGGCGGCTATTTACCGACTGCAGTGCCACATACTGAGGCGGATAATTAAATGGTGTTCACGGTATGAAGCATATGTATGTGATGCAGATGTCGAGATCTTCCCAACGCCGATCACAATCAGGAGTACCCACGAGTGAAGGCGGAACCGGATCGGGTCAATTCATTGGCAATCAGCAGAGAGCTGATTCGGTCATGATGAGCTTCGAGAACAAGTTTCGTCCATCCAAAAGATTACGTTCATAGTGAAGTGCGCCCCTCTCTGGAGGAACATGCTGGAACCGCTTGAAATAGGTCTTGAGACTAACGATCTCATTGAAGTGAATATCCGAGTGCTCCACGGCATGAATAGGTCACGAAATGAATTCGTTGCCTGATGGCTTGTCCGTTTATAATACCTCTCGGCTGCTGGCTGCCTTCTGACCGTCGAGACTGGTGGTCGCCAGTCATACGAGCAGGGCCACTCTTGGCCAAAAAATGAATCCCTCAGGGTCGGTTGTAACCCGAAGCGCCTGCCAGTCCGCCCTCCGCAGACTGCCTGCTTGCCCGTGAGTCTGTCGGCCTGTCCCGCTCAGTCAGTCTATCTTCCCACTCGCCTTCCCGCGCCCCAGCGGTATCCCCTGCTCCCCACAGTGTATCGCCCAGGCAAGCCAGCTAGCTGGCTGAGGCAGCTTCAGTGTCCATCAAGAAATGACTCATGTCGTCCGCTCCCTCGGCACCTTCACCGACTATCATGCAACACATTTCGCCTCGGAACCGCGGCGAAACAAAGCCGAGCTCTCATTTGATCCCCGAGCGCGAAATCCGTGATTCAATGTTCGAAAATCCGGATGGTCTGACGATCCGAAAGAATAATATATCTCATTCTCCCTCCGCAAAGCCCCGCATTCCGGACTACCAGACTCTGAGATACGGCAGAGCCCATACACCATAGTCAGGAGGTCGGTTTTATTCGATAAATAATTGATAGATATTCATCACCTAGATTCATAGCTGAAGAGGAATCGATGCCCAGGAGCGCCTACCTCATGGCTTTGAAAGGCGAGGCACCAAAAAACCAGCCTCGCTCCTTATGTTCAGAAATTTCAGGTCATAGATATCATAGTTATCCACAATTCAGGTCAAAGAGGAATAAGAAAATCTGGGTCGAGATTTATTCATCGGATGTGAGTGGAAATATACTTGACTTAGGAGAATCATGGAATTTAGATCAGAGGATCCAGCTCACCTCATACCGGGACGCCGCACGCTGCCGCAGTTTTATCTGAATTTCTGCAACGACGCTCCCAGAAAACGGACCCGATGGCAGGCATTCGAGTTGAGTAAGTCGGCTGGCTCACCGTCTTCTCCTTTGAATCAGCTGTAGCATTGGGTCGGTATTCAAGGCTTCAATCGTTCCCTGAATATCTCGAAGATAAGCATCCCGTGAACAGCTCCAGAGGGCAAATGCATATTGGCTGGAGCGATCAAGTCCAGAATCTGCGAATTGCTCCCCAGCTAGAATGCAGCCGGGCAACCAAGCGAGAAGGCTTCTCTAACGAATCGGAATCCTCGATACGGAGACGGAGAATTCGCGGAGTGGCATGCAGAAGTAGAGCAACACACTCTCCTTAACGGCCCATCCCAGAAATCTTCGATGGCTCGGAGAGAGCCACAACTCGGGGCTTTACCATGGTATTTGTGTAATTTTCTCCGAGTATTTGACGACCAACACGGGGACAAAGCGCAGTTCCGCGAAGAACTTAATGCTTTACGCGAATCGGCCCCGCGGAAGCATCAGCCCTTCGGAGCGTTGCTCACAGCAAGGAGGAAGTCTGGTCCTAGGAGGAACAGACGACCGCAGAACACACCCCATCAATTTCATCCGAGCACTCAACTCCTTAACAGCGCTGCAGTGAAAGAGAGCTGCCGCGCCATCAATATCTTCCACCTCTCGATGCGGGATGGATAAAATCCAGGAGCGGAGCCGATTTCTTCTTCTTCGTTCATCTCCTCTCTATCCGCAAGCAAGCAACGATTTCCCCTCGCGCAGGCCATCATGGCTCAATGCAGGTCTGTGCGGGAGTCTGTGTCTCCTTCCCGCTGAATGTCTCTGCCACCAGGAGCGGGATGTGTCCGCTTTCTGCGCAATCCTGACCATTATCTCTCTTATCGCACACCACATTATGGTTCTGCTGGCCTTTTTCTCGTCTCCCCGCGATTTCAATTCTCTCGTACAGAAGCCGCTTGCTGACTTAGCGGGCGCGCAAACAAGAGGGAGGGAGGGACGCTCCTCTCCTCTGGGCCTCTGTTCGATAGCCTTCTTGAATTAGCGAATAATCTCTGACACTTTTGAGGTGAAGCACTCGCGGGCGAATTTAATCAAATATATCCGGGGTGAGACATTCCGGTGGCCACTTACTCGATACATTCAAGCCTTCCATTCCATCTCGAGCGAGAGTGCATCGCGGAGTGAGTCTTTGTCTGTTCGGTGAATGAGTCATCGGATGCAGATGAGTGGAATTAGTGGTGACCGATACCGTCAATATCATCACCCTCAATTTATTCGTACGATTCCCCATATCGTCCTGCTGACTCGGAACCTCGAGGCAGACTCCGGTCGAAATAAGACTCCCACAAAGTACCCTTGAGTAAACTCGCGTAGGGTGCGTAGCTTCCCCGATCCTTTCACTTCTCTCTTCCTAGCGTTCGTTTCTCATAATGGCCGGACTCTCTGGACATAAACAGCCTTCACATCCATGAGCCGGAGAATCCAAATTGGCTGAAACTAGAAGACGGAGCACCACTGCGAGAAGCTGCAGCACCGACGGGAGCGATAGGAGAGGGCATTCGTAGCATCGTTTCACATGCCATTAACTTTTGGCTCAACTCCGGTTATGGATAATCCCTCGGTCACCCTCCGAGCGCTGGGGAGCGGAATCAGTTCAGGCTTGGTGGACGGGAGAACATTCGTTTGCTCGACCACTCGAGCGGCGGAGCTGAGACTGTGACCACGGACTCCTATTCAGCTGTTTCAGGCCGATCTGAAACCGAAGTGGAAACAATCAGACCTTAGACTTCCCTCCTCTCCCCCCCCGCGAAGCTGAGCAATCTGCTAGGCAACCCATAGAGTCGGAGTATGATGGTCTGACTTTAACTCTCAAATGAGTTCCTCTAGAGTTCGGAGGCATCTTGCTCCCTCGATATTTGTTTACATTCGATTAATAAGCGTTCAACGTTCCTTCTGGTGTCTTCTGTCATAGCTCCGTCGTCGAGATAAGGAAACCCGGCGTGGTTTGACACACATACCCGAGCGTTGTTTTTCGTCGCGGCGATCGGTCGTCGGTTTCTGCCGCGGCGACCGCTGCGACTTCCCTCATCTTCCATCTGCGCCCGATAAGCCAATGAGCCATCGTCTTTTGGGCCTGAAGCTTTCCCGCTTTGATATATATTTGAGTGTGTGTGTATTTCCACCAATATATCTATCCTGTTCCAATAGGTGTTGTCATTGCTATTGTTTCCCCTGTGTTCCTGGGCGAGTGCACGGCTGTGCTAGTGAGCAAACGGGTGTTAATATCTTGGAGGGTGAACGTGGTGGTCGGTTTGAGGGCTCGTGAGGCCTCGAATACGAGCAGCCAGTGAAGTGGCTCGGGGATCGGCCGTGCTTTCATTGTCGATATGACACCAATTTTCATCGTCGTCCTCGTCCTCCTGTTGAGCTCGCCCCGATATGGGATCTCTTCGACGGCAGACGAGCCACCGCCATCGTCGACGTCGACGGATCGGCAGATAAATTTATCGCGACCGAGTCTAGTTTCGCAAATTGCCTCGAGCGTTAACTCGATATTCGGGACGGTGCAGCAGGGGCTCCGACAGTCGCTCCGAACGGTTCGCCAACTGATGCTCTCGGACCCGGACGCCGTTCTGGCGATGAATTCAATCGTGAGTATTCCGATCAGGAGAATCGAGAAAGATTCTTTCACAGAATGGAAGCCAAGCACGACAACTCTGAGCTAGACTGGGCTTCAAAAAGATCGCGTTCGGGGAGATATTCGGACTTGTTCGCGAAGCGTATTTTCTCCAATTCCATTTTCATTATCGCCTCCAGGGAGACTACGTCCGATACAACGGCTACACTTTTTCTGAGCATTTGGTCAGCACAACAGACGGAGTGATTCTGCAAGTGCATCGAATTCGGCGTGAAACGGCGTTCATCGCAAACCAATCGATACCCGTACTAATGCTACCTGGAGTGATGACATCGAGCTTCGATTTCATCGCGAACCTCCCACATCAGAGCGTTGGCTTTTTCCTTGCCGATATGGGATACGATGTGTGGCTGGGAAACTTCCGCGGGACGAGATATGGCTCTATGAGCAATAGCACCCATCCGAATATTTATAACGCCACGTAAGTGTCACCCCTTCCCTTAATACTTTCGTGGACTCGAGCCAGCTGAACTTCTACTCCTCACCGAGACGGGCGAATAATGTCACCGATCTCGTACTCGATCCCGCTTGGACCGTATGAAGATTTATTCTGTCGGTGTCAAACACCCGCTTGAGATATGATCCGTTGTGTTATGAGAGCACTCGAGTCCTCGTTGCGAAATTTCCGAGCCCGAGCTTCGGATCTGAAACATGACGGTCTGGGTTCACTTCTCCTCTCAGGCTTGACGACCAGGCACTCTTGGATACCCCAGCGATGATTGATGCCGTCCTAAACGAAACTGGTTTTAAGGATCTCCATGTTGTAGCGCATTCCAAAGGTGCTACCGGGCTGCTCGCTACGCTATCTGACCTCCCCGAATACAACAGCAAAGTAATCATGATATATGTACACAAGTATTCTCCCATGCTCGCGATTCGATCCTTTCTGATCGAGGGGATTCACTTGATTACTTCTAAGCATTATCTCGTAACTTCCCACAGGTAAGACTCTTCTCCGCCTTAGCCCCAGCTGTGTTCTTCCGGGATACGAGCCGCTTCCTCCGGGTCCTCTGGCGGGTGTCGCTCACGGAACCGATCGTAAGTGACTGGAATAGGATTGGAGATGGAGCACAAATATTCATCTCAGGTTTCAGTCTCCATGACTTATATGAGCAGATCTCGTCTATGATTCTCGTGACACTGCTTAAGGAGGAGGCGTATCTGTATTCCCGGGAATAAGCGTCGCTGAAAATCAAGTCCACGCAGTACTTGCTGAGTTCGAATCGAGTAATATTAGGATCTCACCGCCGAGAAGCCGCGTCGGCAACGGAATCTGTGAACTCAATCAAAGTAGATGGAAATTTGGTATTCGTCCTTGGATTTGCAATTCTGAATTCAGAGCGGCTCAAATCAAAAACGAGCAGCCAGAGGGCCGAGAGGACAAAATATCCATCAGAGGTCTCCGGCAATCCCTCGGAGGGCGACTTGGGGCGGCGGTGCGACACATCCGAAGCTCCTTTCCAACGTCGAGCTAATGATTCAAAATGGTCGAACCACAACCATTGACCCCGAACCTGAATCATATTTCAATTGACCCCGCGGCTCGCCGAACCAGGAGCCCGCCCGCTGGAACCCTGATCGAATGACCACGGAATTCTCCGTTTTCGGGCGCTAAATATGTCGTTTCGCTGTAGAGAGTGCCGTGCTAGATCCGGCATCGATGGGAAATCCCCGACTGCCTCGATCATTCGATTGGATTTAGGTGTATTTCGCTCTTTATCGTCTTCCAGAAAACCGTATTGAAGAATCTGATGTACGAGAATCGACCGATTTTCAACAATGAGCAAATTTTCGATCCATCGTACTGGTTCATGACAGCTCCGGTCTGCGCAATGACAGGTAATCTCAGAGGGATCTGTCGATAGACATTGTCGAATCAGCGAAAAAGGGAGAGGTCCCAAATGATATTCGCATCTTTTTCGCTCAAGGTCTACTTTGCGAGTCCGTGCTGGACATCATCGAGGATCCTTCTCTGCTGAGAGCAACGAACTACTATCGTCTGAACAGGGTCAGTACTTGATTATTGCGAATATCCATTTTTTCTCGTGGCGAATTCCCACCATGAGGAAACTCAGTCCTAGACTCAAGCCCCCTGGGACGCTCCAACCGGAGTATCCCCGCAGAACTTCCGCTTCGGAGGAAGAAATCTCTTAAGGTCTTCAGCACTCCGGAATTCGAATGCAGAAAAGCTAGCCACTCAGAAGGCTGGCTAGGATGAGCAATCCGACGGGCGGCTCAGCGGCGTCCTCCTCCCAAGAGTCAGCGTCTGCGTACGTTCAACAGGACCTCCGAGGTCCCAGAACAGCGACTCAGCGGGAGATACTGCAGCAAGTTCAGCGGCCGGAAGGAGCCACGCTGCGGAGAACTTCCCGCCGAAAATCTTCAGAGAAATCTCCAATTTCCCCGTCCTCGCAGCGATGAGTCTTTCAATCGGACCGACAAATGCTTTCCTTTACGATGGCGCCCCTCCGATGGAACGCTCTATCCGGCGAAGGCCTTTGATGAAATTTTTATATCAGCAAGTTTTTAGATTCAGTGCTCTCCGGTCCTCTGAACCTAAAGCATCTCTGTGGTATCAACGCGTGAAGATATCACAAGCTTCTAAAAACGGAGAATTTGTCCCGTTTTCAGACTCGGCTCGGCGTGATCATGTCACATTTCCCAGCGGGAACAACCTTCGCAAGTTTCCAACAGTTTTACCAGATTAAGGAGTCTGAACGATTTCAAAAGTTCAACTTCGATGACACGACCTGGATCGAGGCTATTGGCTCTCGACAGCGGAAGAAAACATCGAACCTCGAAGTTTACGGAAAGGTACGACGCCTGTTTCCCCAGCTACTCTCTCTTCGGAAATATGATCAGCGTTCAGCCCCCACGTTTGTGCACGGAAAAGCGGGAAGAACGTAAGCATGCAATATTGCAGGGCACCCCTCCCGAGTATGACCTTGCCAACGTGAATGTATCGATGCTTTTGTTCTACGCCGACAATGACGTCTTCGCGGGCCAGCACGACATCACTTTGCTCAACAAGCACTTTGGCCACCTCATTTACAACAATGGCAACTACCACATAGCCGTACAGAAATTCCTTCACATGGACTTCCTTTGGGGTCTCGACGCACGCCAACTGGTCTACGACCCGATGTATTATCAGATGAAGACTTTCGATGCGGAACGAGGTTCAGCCCGCAGCGATGAATCCCTCATCAAAGATTTGTACTACACCGTTTCTGGAAAGTCCTCGAATAAGCGTGCTTATTATGACCGCTTCCTCCAAAATAAAGGATAGTACTTCCGAACATCACATCAGTCCTACCCGGAGTTCCCGATCGGGTCCTGGTGCGCAAAAGTATTGTTTCCCTTCCCGGATGTGCTGACCTCCTCAGATCGCAGGCTCGAACCCGAAATTCCATTGCGGAGCGTAAGGAATCCACACCCGAAGGCTTGTCTCTGAGTAGGCGAGGCTTCCTGCAGCTATCTTGAACTTAAGGTCTGACATTCGTTCCCTCCGGGCGAGAGATCGAAAGCTAAGGTGATTCAAGTAAACAAAATCGAGTATTTATTCATGAGATCGCTTGTCTTCAATACGACGATACCGTACGGTTTTTGAGAAGGTATCCCAGCGGCTTCCAGGTTGGTTTCCACGAGGAACGAGCGGACGCTGGACGAGGCTGCTTGCGGGAGTTGGAGCGCTGACTCCGAGGTCTCCTCATCTGGAAAAGCAAACGTTGCTCTGCTATCAAACATGATCATTCCCCGAGTCTAGATTCAAACTCGGGCTTATGAAAAACCCTTCGCATCGATGTCTCCCTCTATATCCATGGCACGGTCTGCGTCGCGACTTGACACTTGACTCCCGAGAACCTGGAGGTGTTTGTCATCCTCGGGGACCTCGATATGTTCGAATTCTTGCGCATGTATCCAAATACAGCAGAATTCCCTCACAACGAACCGCGCGGGACCGGCAGAATCCGTTCTTTGTATACAATATTCGCTCAACTGAATGCTATCCAGCATTATTCCTACGGTAAGCCAGTCAGAGGGGAGGGGGACAGAGTGTTCGTTGTGCTGGAAATTCGTTGTAACGGTGTTCATTGCAACGAGATTTAACTGCGATGTATCTACAATAATTCCGACAGTCGGCACGACTTGACGTACGATCATGGGTCACCAGGCATGTCCGACCTTCCCAGTGAGGAGGCTCATCCTAGAACTGATGAGAGCCTGGATTGTCGAGCCCACTCGTGGAGGGGGAGGCTTTTCGACTCCTGAAGCATCTAAGACTCGTTGCGGGAGAGATGCTTCTCTCGAACAATAATCCGTTCCCGGCCAAAGAAGCCAAGTCGCTGTTGAGCGGCTCCGGGCGTGTGACCCTTGGGGAGGAGCGAGCTGTGGAGTGGGGATTCCCCCGATCGCTAACGCGCAAAGTTCCTCTGATGAGAAGCAGGGGAAGCATCCGCGCGCCACAACGCATCTCACGGACTTCATAATCGTTGAGAGGATCCTTTGGGTCCCTCTCTGGCATCGCCCGCAGGCCGCTCGCCATAGGTCAGTGGAATAGTTCGCGGGCCTCGGGAGCTCTCTGAGTACCGAAAATTCTGGCATTCTTTAGCAGCTCTCGCGAAGCAACTGGAGAGGATGATTGATCCTAGAAGTCGATCGTCGGTAGTTCTAGGCTATGAGCTGGGGCAGCGGAGAATCTCCGACCGCGACTTGGACTTCGGATGTTCGAAAGAGATTTTGTCGAATGGGATGTATGAATGGAGACCTTCTCGGAATGATAGGCTTCCCACGCTCGCGAGTCGGAGCCAATATAGAGGAAATCCGTCCGAGGCAGGGACGACTGCCTCCAGCATCGGATGGCGCAGCCTCGGGAGCCCCAGCCTTCGAAATCAGCGAGAATTCAAGGCCACAGCCAATTTTGCGGAGGTTTAGAGATTTGCCGCTGCTCACCGGCTCTCAAAACTCGGCACCACTTGCCGCGTCTCCGTGGAAGCTTCGGATAGATCTGGCTGCTCTTTGTACTTGTTTACCTGACCCTCCGAGAATTTCATTTCGTTCTACTTCGCCAGGTTGAGGGGAGAAGTCTCGGAATATCGCTGCCGATCGCATCGCTGCGAGGAGGATCAAGAGAGGTTTTGCATAGGAGCGGTTCGAGTTTTCAGAAATTATATTAGGCATCTCGAATGGAATTCCAGCCTCCATCCGTCGCGTCGGCTCGCCCGGAGATCGAGTCAACAGTCGGGGCTCATACCTGAAGACGATATTTGGGGCGACCTACGAGAGAATGAACGGAATGCCCATCAGTCTACCGTCTTGTATGGAAGAATGGGGTAACTTATCATCAAGATCCGCAACGAGCCCACGAGCTCCGCGGAGACAGTGACCCTTCGCGGCGGGAGGTAGAGATCGTACTTGACAAGGGAACATCTTATGTGTAAACGCCATGTTGGTCGCATGTTTTCTCGGTCATTGCGGGCATTCTTGGAATATGACCATTGATAAGCAGGGAGTGCTACGTAAGCGGACATTTCTATGGTGGAAGGCGAGAAAAAAGAGGACCACCAAGTGTTTCCTTCAGACAGTAGTCGACGCAATAACTAAATCACTGACTCCTGAAAACCGGCCCATTTCTTTCCGGCAGATCCTAGGGAAAGATTGGTGATCTTTCCTGAATCTTGATCACTGATCAAGATTCGAAATCCTCCTGGCAAACAACCGATACCTTCTGAAATGCTCAGTCTCCACATCAGGAATGAGTCCAGCCCAGTCGGTGCTCCAGGCTTAGATCTGGAACTCGCTCCGACGCGACGCGGACGGTCGAGCTCGATTGGAGGTCTTGCTGATTCAAAATCATTCAAAATCTGTGCAGCGTGTTCTGATCAATACTGGCTGGCAAGACTGGTGTGTCAATCGGCACGCTTGCAGCCGGGAGCTCCCTTCTGAACTTCAACGGAAATCGCTGAATCGGCCGTGAAGCGCAAGCAAAAAGGTAGAATTGAGTCGTCCCGAGAACCCGTGCGATGATATACGATCGATGGAGCTACCGATCCTTTGCTTGGAAGTGTATTCTTGTCTTCTCAGTCACTTGAGATCCTCTGAGAGACTGCCTGCAAATATTGAGGCAACATGCAGCACCTGGTAGACAAACGGGCGATCACTGCATTTGCCTCGCGGCTCTGCTCGCCGCGCCGCAGTGTTCCGCAGAAAAGACCACGGGCCGAATCTCAGATTCTCGAGATCAATTTGAAATCTCTCCCCGTCGTTTCTCTTGCCGACCGCTGACCGGAGGGCGGGCCTAGCACAACTCGAGGGCCAAGAGGCAAGGAAGAACAAAAAAAACAATCCGCACAAAATCGATGGAAAACCTGATAATCGGAGAAGACAGCTGAGGTATGAAAGACTAATATTTGAAGAGATTATGACCGATGGTTCTTGCCGGAGGCCCTTTTCGTTGTCACGTTCATAGAGGGAGCGGGGCAGGCACTCAGCGCGTCTACCTTCTCAGAATCGTGGCCGCCGGACATTACCAGGAGTATTGAAACCTTGGAATTCTGATCGAAAAATCCGGAAGTCTCCAACTAGGTCATATGAAGATGCTCTTCGAGCTTTTACCGAGGGCAGAATTCTCAATCAAAAGCTCATCCTCGGGTCTCCATCGGGACCTCTGAGGAGCTCATTGCGGCTTTGTTCGGAGCGTCTTCCTGTGGATCTCCGACGCCCCAACTCACAAGATGTCCGTTTCCAATATTAATATCTCACTCGTATATACAGTACCTAAGCGACAGAGTTTCTCGTATTTCTCAGCTTCTGATTTATATTTGGCCTACGGTCCGACTGAGCTTCGATCGAAACCAAGAGAAGCGCTCTGAAAGAAAAGATTCCGATCAGGACTCAATCGATCTTTGATTCAACACCGAAAACCCCCAATAGCAGGACGTGCTTAGCGATCACGAGGTCTCGACCTGCGAGGCTTCCTTCATACTGCACATTTTCTCCCTTTGAATTCCCTGTGAGAGAGACGACGCTCCGGTCCGGTTCCAAATATAATTCGGCACCTTCCCGATCATATCCCTCACGCTCATTTCGATGGGTCTGATCTCGAGAAAGTCTCGAAGTGAGCGAGGAATATTTTTTGCGGAAGCCATCGATCGTTAAGTGTTGTTCACTCTGGAGCTACCTAAGTGGCGCCCCGTGTTGACGTCACCAAGTCACAATTCTCCGCTTTTCACGCTCGAGTGCTCGAGTTTCGAGAGTATGGCAAGTTCGTGCCTCAGAGGGAGGGAGTCGGCTGGCCATAATAACAGGCTTTGTTTTATGAAATAGTTGACGATGTTTTAATTAGTGTCTGCTCGATAATTGACGCGAACTCAGCTGATATCTGGTCAGCTAGTAATAAAGTCGTCAACAAGCTCAATATCGGCGCGCGCTCGCGAACACTCCCAATTTTCATTCGGATACACGCTGCCTCGAACGCTGCTCCTCACCCTCACCATATAATTATCACCTCGTTCAGAGTCTTTTGGAAACTGCATTGGCTCATTGTCGAGAGAAGTCTCACCCCGTAGTGATGAAGTTTATGATGCTCATTAAAATGCTCGCTGCCCCTCGAGATTGATTAGCCGCGTCATCAATTTTCTGGAAGTTTACGTCCCTTGTGATGGAGGAACATATCAGCGGGGAATCGCACCCCCATGATAGGCACACGCGGTTGCAAGCCTTAGCCGGGGAAGGACCACCATGGCTCCACCACGACACAGTTCGACATCATTGCATCCCGCCCGCCGGTCAATTATCTTGTGCTTATCATGCTCGGATACTCATTCGATGAACAGGTCGAGGCGTCGCCGACAAAGAAGCTATCCGATCGAGTCTCCGAGTACCGAGCAGATGAGCGGCGAAGATGATGGTGAGTATCTAGCTATAAAAAGACACATTGGCGAGCTCTTAGTCGAACCACGAAGATTTGAAACTACACGCTTTGACGCTTATCGATAAGATGCTCGATTCGTAATTCCGAGGCGGAATGGAAATGCGGGTATCGCAGATCGATCCCGACTAACGCCGATATATGCTCTTCGACGAAACAAGTCTGCAGGTGTCGTTTCCTTATCTCCACGACAAACGATTCCTCAATCTATTGTCGAAAGCCCTCGGCGATTAGATTCGATTTTCCTTGATACCGACACACTCACGCTGGTCCAGGTCCTCTCGATTAGCACAGATCTCCATGGCGCAAGGAGGGCCCGCGAGCATCATCGGTCCAGATCCGGAATCTGTCCTGTATATGATTCCTACGCATCCTAAAGAATCGTGGTTCTTATGCAGGATCTCTTCGTTCGTGAATGATCAACATCGACAGCTATCCTCATCCGTACGCCTTTTGAAACCGCGGCTAAATAAATGAAGGGGGATATATGAGCTCGGCCGGGGCTAGCCGGAAAATCCCCCGTGAGCGAGAGTTTGATGTCCAAGGGAAACGACTGTATTCTTCACTCGCAGAATCGAAACCCGATTTGGATCCGGATCTCAAGTTTATCGCGATCAGTTTTTGGTTATGATCATTACCGAGACACCCTGCGCCTCATTTTTCATTTTGACTGTAGCATATATTGAAAGTATTATGAATGTATACCATAGATCCGCTCCCATCGAATGACACAAATGATGTCTCAATCCTAGTGCTCGGAGTGCCGCATATAAGGGATGTTTACGTTGGCGCCTTCGGAAACGAAGTCCCCTATTGTCGCGGAGCCTGTACAGGAACGAATGGTTCCTCAAACGCGAGGAGAGATGATCTAGGTAGGAATGTCACTCTCTCCGCACGTCTTGAAATACGTAGTTCTAAGCAAGTTGGCGATTCGACGCTGAGCAATCAAATGTGCAACCTGAAACTTCGCGTAGACTATCCAATGATAAGAGGTATTCCATAGTAAAGACAATCATCGGCATATTTCTCAAAGAGTTTCTCTCCGTATTTCGACTGCCGAGTGAGGTCCGGATATGGACGCTTCTCTCTCAACTCTGGGTTCTTCGTCAGACTTCCGGCTTTTGTTCAATCCCTCTGGGGATTTTCCAGTGCAACAGATCGTGTATGTGAGCAGAAGTGCCATCACAGCGGTCTGCAAGGCGTTCACGGCTACCACTGCTTCAAAAGGGTAATTGTTGAGAATCATACCTGCCATGACAGGTCCAATCGTGCACCCGATCGAGGCCGCAGGTGTGAAGATAGCTGACAAGGCTGCGTACGTCCATTTAGTGTTCTGACCATTAGATATACATTCCAGAGAGTGCATGTAGGAGCATACGAATGAGGGTCCGGTACCCGCGCCCAACAGAACTTGGGATAATATGACGATTCCTTTAGTCTGCTTGACTGGTACTAGGGGTCCCAATAGTACCAGTGCCACAATGGAGGTAATCAGGCCAAGCAATACGAAATATCGAGGATCCGAGATTTTCTTCGAGAGGAATCCAAATACCAAGCTCGAGATCGCGTACATCCCTCCGGCGTAGAAGAATAGCATGCCAGACTCGGTAGCATCCATGCCAAACTCCACATTTAGCTGCCGAGCAAGCGTCGACTCGTTGAACGATATCAAGACGTAAGCGCTCATTGAACTCAGCGCGTTGACGATTACCGGGAGCTTCCAAGCGGACCGTGTACCGTTATCCTGCGACGTTTTCTCCTCTGACGCCGGCGATACGTGTTCAGGGAAGAAGCCCACTGCCAGCATCGTCGCGGAGAGTAAGGCACCTCCCATCACCCAGAAGGGCATCGGGAACCCTCCGAAGTCGTACAGGATCCCGCCAAGGGCTGGACTGACCACCACCGAAATTCCGTGAATCGTTTCAAAGAGCGGGATGACGATGTGATTGATGTCATTGAGCTCCTGCCCAGTGATCACGTAGAGCATTATGATGCCCATCGCGGAACCGACCGCTTCCAGAATTCGAATGATCAGAGAGCCGAAGAAGAATTGATTGCCTTGCGGGAATCTGTGCGCAAATGAGAGCATGAGACAGAACGCGGCGTCGATCGTCCATGCGGCGAATAGGATCGTTTTATCTTTGAAGAGCTTCAGATTGACGAGTTTTGCCGCGGGAGGGGTCACAAAAACCATCACAAAGCAATAGCACCCCATGATGATTCCATACTCGGCCGAGGTAAGTCCTTTCACATCGAGCGCGTATAGATTGAAAAACGAGTTTATGTGGCTGAAGGTCGCACCTTGGAGCAGTCCCCCGAGGCACAAGAAGGTGAGTACACATAATTTCCGTCTCCATTGCAAGCGTGGGGGTTTTGCACCGGCTTCGGAATGCCTCCTCCTCAAGGACCCTGTACGGTTCATCAGAGACCACACCGTACACCGTCTGCGCGCGTTCCCGGCTTCTTCCGACGACGACGGGTCGACTCGGATCGATCCGCCTGCCCGCTCACGCGAGGTTCCCTGGTTCACTTGTTCGCTCGAGCGCTGATTGCTGAAGACGATTTGAGACGAGAGCGCGGAGTATTTCGAGATGTTCCCCCATCTTTCCACAGTTCCTTTGTTCACTCACTTACCGGATATGATCGATAGCTGGTGATTCTAAGATTTGCTAACCTTCAACTCGAGAGGGCAACCTGCGGGAGAAATCGTCATTCCGCGAGCTCTCGTTCACCGGCGATCGCAGGGTGTGCGGGAAATCTGCCGCTGTTTGCTGAGTCAGTCGAAATTCTATTCGTTCATTCAGCGAGATCACGTTCGAGAGGCGGAGCGGTGGAAGTAGTCATCATTGGGATGCGAGTGACCGCACCTTGGAGCTCCGGAGCGCGAGATGTATTTTCGTGCAGGGAGATCACAAAAATGCAAGATGTTCTCCAGGATGATTGCCTGATCCCAGATCATCCTCCATTCGTTGCCCGAGCCCCATGAATTCACAGATTCGAGACCGTGAAGAGCTTGTAGGGCTCGAATTCTTCAGCTTTCGCACTTCTTTAACCCTATCCATCCTTGTCTCAATTAATCGGGCTATCTATGTGTACACGACTAGACGAACGGAGATCCACCAATGATGAAGGGAAGTCCGGGCCCGGAAGGTCCAGCGGCCGCGCGATATCGGACGGAATTTCGACGTGAGAGAACATGAGGATAAGCAGACCTGCCGTTGACTCCGGAGTGACTCAGGATAAAAGTGACCAGCTTCGATAGTCGATGGCGATTGAGGGTGAAATGACATTTCGGACGTGGCCCGGGGTTGTCTTCGTCGCTCATGCGCCTGCGTTGTTTTTCTTCCTTTTGTTACCGTTCGTTCCCGGAAGAGGAAACCACGCCATGTATTTTGATCCTCGATCCATGCTTCGCTTCGGTAGAATCCTCCACAAACTATCACTCCGAGACGTAGTTCTACTATCAATTCTGAATCAAATCACCAGAGCCGCTTATCGCCCGATTACACGCGGAGCTCGGCCAGGTCAGAAGGTCAGACACTGCCTAAGATGCCTCAGAACGAAACATAAGTTGCACTGCTAGGAATGCATTTTATTCTTTTATCATGCCGAAACTCTCGCGGCATCCTTTCTTCACAGCGTCTTGCGGTTGCTCATAAGGAGCCAATCTAGCCGGAATCGCGCCCGAGCAGATACGGGAAAAACCGCTTCGAAAATGCTGCTTCACTAAGAGTTCAGCATCTTTTGAGCTTCGTCACAGTGTTTGCTAACCCTCTCCGCCAAAATCCTCATTTTTCGGTGAGAGATCATCGATGGCTGTTCTCGTCGCAAATTCTCTCGAGACATTTCCTTCCTTTTCGTCCCATGCTATAGTCAAGAGAGGACTCCTTGGAAAATGTGCCCGGGAAATTGGTTTCCCCTCCACCCCTTCTACAGTTTCACCACGGCACTCGACACGCTTGCACGGTCCGCAGAGTTAGCCTGGTCGGTCTCCTTAAAAGTTTTGGTACCCATGCAAATTGTACAAAACAGCAAGATGGCCACCGCCACCGTGAGCGAAACATTCACAGCGACCACTGTCTCGTACGAGTAGTAATCGAGGATGAAACCTGCCATCAAGGGTCCTATCGTACAGCCGACCGACGTAGCCGGTGTGAATATCGCTGTGAGAGCTGCGTATAACTCTTTCGATTCTTTCCCCTTCGAGAGATATCTCAAAGACTGTATATAGGAGCATACGTAACATGGTCCGGAACCGATTCCGAGCAGAATCTGGGCCAGAATGAGGATCTCTTTCGATTGCCTGACTGGGATGAGCGGTCCCTGGAGCGTCAGTGCTACCAACGAAATTATTTGACCGATCAAAACGAAATACCGAGGGTCGAGTATTCGTTTTGAGACGAACCCGAACACCAGACTCGATAAGGCATACGTGCCGCCAGCGAACAGGAACAGCATGCCGGACTCGGTGGCACTCATCCCGAATTTGATGTTCAGTTGCAGAGCAAGTGTGGATTCATTGAAAGAGATCAGAACGAAAGCGTTCATAGCGCAGAGGACGTTGACGATCACGGGAAACTCCCAAGCGGTCCATATGCTGACGCTATCCGGAGCTGGATCCTCCGGGGAAAGCTTCCGTGGCTCGGGGAAGAAACTCAATCCCAGCATCGTCAAAGCCATCAAGGTCCCGCCCATGAACCAAAATGGCAACGGGAAGCCACCGACATCGAAGAGAATGCCACTGACTGCAGGACCGACGACGACCGACACTCCGTAAATTGTCTCTAGAATCGGGATTACTATGTGATTGATTTCATTCAGTTCTAGTCCTACGATTACGTACACCATCATGCAACCCATCGCACAGCCGCACGCTTCGAAAATTCTAAGAGTGAGCGATCCCAAGAAAAATGGATTTCCTCGTCCGAGTTTGTACACTAGCGACATCAGCAGACAGAACGACGAATCGATGATCCATGCGATGAAAAGGAGCGTTTTGTCCCTGAAATACTTCAAACTGACGAGCTTCGCCGTGAGAGGCGTGACGAAAACAACCACGAAACAGTACGATCCCATGATGATTCCGTACGCAGCCGATGAGATTCCTTTCACTTCGAGAGCGTACACGTTGAAGAACGACGTTATGTGACTGTAGGTCGCACCTTGGAGCAGAACACTGAGGCACAAAAATATCATAACGAGACCGCCTCGTTTCCACGAGAAACCCTTCGGAGAGCCCGAGGAGCCTTCGATGGCGGCGGAATCGGCAGATTTCGGAGCTGTTGTCACGGCGGTCATCTTCGGCTAAGTTTCAGCCGAGCTCTCGACTTAATCGCCTCGATTATCTTCCAACTCGCGTTCCGGGTTCGTACCATCCACTTCCACGTGTTTTGCTGGTTTCTTCGCTTGTCCAGTGAGAGGATCATTAAATTGATCACGCGTTGCAGACGAGCAGCCGACGTCGACCGAGGCCGGAGAAAGGGGACCCGCTAAACTCTGAGAGTCGTTGATAGATATGTGACACTGAACGTGACTCCGGCGAGTCCGCTATCTATTTTCCTTTTGCTTCTGGGGAAATGATTTCATTCACAGGCGAAAACCACTTAGAAAAGACTGATCAGGGATAAGGGGCGAAACACTCCCATTCCTCATTCGAGATGGCGCGTATATGAACACCGCTCCCGGGATTTTACAGGGAACCCTCCGGAACCGCCTTCCCTATCTGTCTCGCACTCTGTGTCGAATCGAAATTCCAACGCACTCCCTCATCTGACACTCGACCAAGGAGGTCCACTGTGGCACGAAATCGGTGTTTCACCAGAGGTGGCGGACGCTTGCTGCTTGTCTAGGTGAGCGTTGCAAGCTGCATTCGACTCGGTATCGGAAGCGAAATGGAGTCTTCCTTCGACGATTACGGCGAGCTGTAAACTCGTGCTGAGAGATATCCCTCGGACAGTTGTAAAGCCTCAAAAGAGTCAAAAACTTGCCGACGTCTCCTAGTGATGAGCACGCTGCCCGATGAGTAGGAGGGGGCGCTCAACCGACTTCAAAAGAGATTTTGATGATTGTATCGTGATTCTGCGGGAAACTGTAGCTGATGCTGGGGACGGATACGTTGCGAGTCCAAATTCTTCTCTCGTTTAGGAATTCGGCTGAAGAAAGAAGACATGCGCCCTTCCCCTGTTGCTCACCGCCCCGAGGAACCCGGGAAATCGCCCCCAACCAGACTTGAGAGTATTTAGCTGAGAGATTTTCGGAGTGAGGCAGATCGCTCGCCCTTGAAAGGATCGCTCATCGGTCCTATTTCGTAGTACGGCTGGAAGAGTCGGGCAGCCATCCTCCACTTGCGGTGAGGGACTCTCTCGGAGGGAGCCGACATACAACACAGAAGAAGGTTTATGCAATCGCTTTTTGAACTCCGCGAGTCATCCAATATCTCATTCCCTGATTCAAATTGAGGAATTCGAGGACGGGAGAGCTCTCATTCCCAGCTTCCCGGAGCGAACTCGTTGCGCTTTGACGGCTGGCCGGTCGAATCCTGACCGACTCTCCGTGTTTCTGTCGTAGGGATGTATGCCTGAAATTGATCATCTATGACGAGAAGAAAAATACTTTTATCAAATAAAGTAGCCCCGGACAATCATACGTTCGTTGTCCGGTGAAGGTGGGTGCAAGTCTTTGAATTTCAGCCTCTGCTCCACTCGACGCGTGTCGACCAGACGTCCTCGAACGATCGGGCAGTCGCTCCGAAATCGGATATTTCTACTGAGATTGCCTTGAGACGAAACTTGATAGGGCTCACATTCCAATCGCGTAGAGGAACAGTATGTCGGTCTCGGAGGCATTCAGGTTGAACCTGATCTCGAATCCCGATATGCATGGGGAGGGTCGACTCGCTGGAAAAGATCGGAATTGAGGCACTTGAAACCGACCTTTCGCAATTCTTGTTGATAATGGTATGCGGATCCGCGAAAAGTAAACATTCGCCCCTCCAGTCCGGGCTCACGGAGAAGGATATGCTTCCTGAAAGTCAGGGCCTAACTAAGAAGAGCATTGGACATAGGGATGCCCGTATGGAGAATTCAGAAGTCGATTATTCGCAGGCCACAGGCTGACTGACGCTGATGTTGCGTACTTTCCTCAGTGAGCCTGGATTGAAGTAAGCGAATGTTTGCTTGCGAGGGGCTCGCGAAATGCCCCCTGCTCCCTCCAGAGATCTCAGATGACGTGATCTGGAAAAATGTGATTGTGCCGACGCGACGCCGGATTTTCCGCGTACATCTGCCGAGAATTTTCAGGATTCTTTAGCGGGAACATTGAGACCGTCGATACAGCATGAGCCTCTGTGGAGTCAAATATACAAGATGAAAACTGAGATGTAAACGCTGTCGGGCAGATGCGGAAGCATCCCTGTCTTGAGCGAGATAGGGAGGATGCTCGTTTCGAGTTCCATGGATATGCCGTAATGATTGCGGTTAGCACCGCTTCGTGAGAACATTTTCCTTCACACTCTCACAGATAAACAGCTGCATTAGAGCATGGATTAGTATTCTCCCGAATCGGCGATGCTATTGACCACTGTCCACGCACTTCCCTCTGAGCGAGAGAGAGGAATGTCTCAACTCTCAGCCGGCTGCAATACTTCTCAGGTACCTGCTTACAGCTTACACTGGTTGTGGACTCTTGGCTCCATGTCTCGGCACCCGGCCCCGTTTTGGCCCTCCCGCGAGCTAACGATGCCGAGCTTCAACGAAGAGCTTCCGTGAGATTTGATTGCTCCTGGAGTCCAGTCATGTGGTAATGGATGCGTGAGGGTCCCTTTCTAGTACGGGGAGTGGTGATAGTTTCGAAGAAATCTGCCAAAGCGAGCGGAACCGACAGAAAATCCGAAAACCGAAGAATCGCTGGAATCGCGCGCAGACTTCCGGTGACCCCGAGAAGAGGTGGCTTCTAAGGGACGGCACAATATTGTTTTACGCGCTGAGTATTTCTGCAGTTCAACGGTATTCTGACGATCTCATGCACAGAAAAGGTCGCCAGATATTCATATGGCCATGTAACATTTTTCTGGCGACTAAACACGGTTGATCTGACGCAGACAGGCGAGCTCCAACTGGGCTGCACTGACTCGGATCGACACTCCCGCCGGCGGACTCCGCTTCTTCAGAAAGGTTTCATCAAGTTCCGGTCATTTGGGGACCGTCGAAGAGCCCGTATGATTGATTCATTTTTGACAAACCTCGATGACTTCACTTCATCACCTCGGGAAAGGGAAGTCGTGAAAGAATTCCCGAAAACCGGCCATGGTCATCTTTAGACTAGATCGAGACAGGGAGATCGCTCATTTCCTCAAACTCGATTCTCCGATTCCACAGTCATTCATTCCTCCTGAGGGAGCTTACGTGCGCGGCTCTGATAGTCCGCGCTGTACTTGAACAGTTCGCTTTGGATACGCCGAATATGTACCGACTGTGGTCGTATTATTTGCCCCATGAGCGGATCCGACGCCGAAAGACAAAACATGGCTCTCCGAACATCATACTTGTGGTTTATTGCTCCCGGGAACTACAATCCTTTGGAGTCTCGATCCCCAACCGCAACCGGGATGGTGTGAGTATGGAAGCGATCTTACGCAACCTAAACTGAGATCTGTTTCACGGGTGGTTCTGGTTTCGCGACCTTTCTTGGAGTTGCGAAAAACACAGTGGCGATCAGAAAGCCCATCATGCAAATAAGCTGCGCTGAAATGATCATCACCCCAGTTTTATATGAAAAATACTCCAGTATGAGTCCCGCCATCAGAGGGCCTATTGTGCATCCTACCGAAGTTGCCGGTGTGAACAATGTCGACAGCGCTGCGTAGGTGTCTTTGCTCTCGCTGTCGAGATACTTCAACGCTTGCAGAAACGAGCAGACGTACGTCGGTCCCAGCCCGAAACCCAAGAGCATCTGAGCGATGATTACGGTATTTTTCGTCTGTGTGATCGGGATGAGCGGTCCCTGTAGAATCAGGCCGATGATCGCAATCGAGTTAGCCAGGATGACAAGATAGCGCGGATCTGAGATCCTCTTCGAGATGTAACCGAATAGTAGACTAGAGAAAGCGTACGTGCTCCCTGCAGCGAAAAACATTCGTCCCGATTCTGACGTGCTCATGCCGAATTTCAAATCGAGCTGTAAGGCCAGCGTCGATTCGTTGAAAGAAATAATAACGAAGCCGTTCAGCGCACACAGTACGTTCACGATAATCGGGAGCTCCAAAGTCCGCATTAGGCCCTCCGACGGGTTGCATCCGTCATTTTGATCAGGTTTCACTGCTACAGGTTTTGGGAAAAATAATAAAGCCGACACCGTTAGAGTCGATAAAATGCCCCCGATAACCCAAAAGGGGAGTGGATAGCCCCCGTAATCATAGAGCATACCGCTGAATGCTGGTCCGATCATTACGGAAACGGCGTAAACTGTTTCCAGCAAAGGTATCACAATATGATTGATCTGGTTCATCTCAGTCGCGAGCACTATGTACAGCATGAAAAAACCAATCGCACAGCCGATTGCACTGCATAGGCGTAAAGTGAGGGTCCCTAGAAAGAAGTGAGTTCCCTCCTTAAGATGACTCGTGGTCGACGTCAATATACAGAATACAGCGTCTACTGCCCACCCAAGGAACATAACGTAGTTATCCTCGAAACGTTTCGAAGTCACAATTTTCGCAACTATTGGAGTCACGATCACGAAAACGAGGCAGTACGATCCCATGATGATTCCGTATTGAGTGGACGATAAAAACTTGTGCCGCACCGCATACTTGTTGAAGAATGACGTCACGTGAGAGTAAGTCGCTCCCTGGAGAAGGCATCCCAGACACAAGAAACTCAGCACGAGAGCGATTCTACGCTTAGAAGGCAAGGAATGCTCTGAAGCTTCTCGGGAACCTGTCCCATCCGTAATGTCACGGTTTTCCCCGTCGCAGGCATCTTCGAAGCTCATTTTTAGTGAGCGTTTCAGTCATCGAGTAAACGCTCTTCGAGAGTGGGTAAGATGATTGCTCAACGGAAGGAATCATTCGCATTGGTCAGCCCTCGCAAATATCTCGACGTTGAGCGATCTAAGAAGAGCAGCCACGCGGCGCATCGAAGGCCTGTTCATTTCAGTCGTCGGCCGCATGGATTCGAGAGCGATCGTTACCAGCTCCTTGGCGCCTGACGAATTTACCCTCAAATAGAGACCCGGAACTTCTCTTTGGGACTTCCAAGATCAAATGGAAGACTCGAAAGCGTGATTCTACAGTGGTTGGCGTTTTCTCACGTCAGTCTAGCCCGTTTCAACCGGGACGTCTTGAGCGGATCTCTCTCCTTGCTAGATCCGAGTCGAGGTCAGCTTATTGCTGCCGACGCTCTCGCATTCTCCGACAATGTTAGAGCGCCTTCCAGTACCAGCGTTTATCCAAAACCTCAGTACGCGATCGAAGCAAGCTGGGTAGAGAGGAAGATACGGCGGTAGCCGCCTAAAACGGTCCGTCGGTCACACCACAAGAGGCTGTGGAAGATGTGGACGTGTTTTCAACATACCTGAATCTGATCATATAAATATCTCATCAAATGCCAACTGAATAGAGCTCCTTGCAAAGAAGCCCTCAAATATTCGCCCTTGACTCATAAAAACTAGCGAGATGCGAAGCATCATGGAAAGTTGTGAGATTGTGCAGTGAGTTAAATGAAAACAATCACCATACCTCGAGCACGCTTCGCTCGAGGGATTACGGATATGCTTTCCGCGGTTACACGGAACGGCATCGTCTCCTAGACGCTTCGATGGGCGAGTCTGACTCTTTTTCCCTGGGTATGCAAACTCACTCAAATTTCCCCAGATTGAATTCATTCATCTCTGATCCATAAACAGGAATCCAATTCTCTGTGGGTGGATTAGATGTGGACGCTGATGACTTGGGTTCCGAACTCCAGGTGGTGCTAATGGCGAGCACAGGGCTGACGACAGACCAAGCAGATAATGCCGTGGATACCAGAACAACCATGTCGGTTCTGATGTAATTCAGTTGAATTCCCGCCACTGGGAGACCGAATATTCACAGGAGTGGATATAGCTGTCAAAACGGCACAGGTGTCTCTTCACTCGTTGATGCCGCCCAAGAAACGGAGCGACTGCAGATACGAGCACGCGAATGCCGGCCCTGCGCCCAGACTGAGCAGAGTCTCAGCAAGGAGATCATTCGTAAGCGGAAATCAGAGCGAACGTGTTGGGACAGCAGAGTACGTTCACGATGATCGGGATTCGCCACGCTGACCGGAGATCCATTCCGCATTCGCCCATATCCCTATCACTTCGTTGCGAAGTGGCGGGAGAAGGAAAATATCGCCGATCGTAAGGGTCAGCAGCCAACCCCCAAAAACGAGTAATGGTAGGGGGATTCCACCGATTTCGTAGAGGACGCCGCGGACGGCCGGACCGATGACGACCGCCGCCTCGTAACAGGTTCCCAGAAAATGTATGACAGTGTGATAGATTTCTGACATTTCGGCTCCAACAATCGGAAAGGCCATGAAGAAGCCGATCGCACGGAACTCATAATAAAACAGAAAGACGAGTCGATTGTCAGTCCGCCGAAAAGAAGCGCTTTGTCCGAGAACTTCCAAGTTCTGAGCACCGCTGCGCACACTGAAGTCGTGGTCATGATGGAGAGAGCGTGCGCGCCCATGATGATCCCGTATCGGGTAGGAGAAAGTTCTCTTTCTGCGAGCTCGTATTAGTTGGAGAACGACTTACGAATTGAAGAAACACGCTATGCCCTCGCATAGACCAAGGACGCGATTACTACGGAATCCAGTTGACCCAGGAAATGACCACGCATCTCGCTCAAAAAATGCAAGAAGTCTGATCTGATAACCGCCAACTCTCAGAGAGTACTCTGCTGAGAAGCTCAGCTTGGTATGCCAGTCCGTGTCGTTGCGGGAGGGAGAATCAACATATACTGAGCGGGGAGTCTGCGAATCCCGTCGATCTTCTGCTCGCGATCGAACTGACGCGTCGTGCCAAGGAGAGGGTTGCGAACGGGTCCCAGAAAGAAGAGTCGCCCGAACTTGTTCGGTGCCAGAGCTCACATGGGGGCAAATTCAAATTGCGACTCATGCAAGCGGTTGATGTAATCGACTTCCGGTCAAGCGGATAGGGCAAGAATTTCACCCCGGCGCGAGGAGCTGCGGACTACTCGGAGCAGACCGCGAAGTCCCAGAGCTCCAGGCTTGACGAAGGGGTCAGATACTCCATTCACAATTGTTGCGATTTGTCATCCAGCCTGGAACCTCGCTCGTACGGCGGAAAATTCGTTGGTCGCAGCGGTCTTCCATCAATGATCTCATGCTTATTTGAGCACCGTTTTCAAGAGGAGGGATCTCGTTCGACACGATTGGCATGGCTTTTCTGCGACACAGCATGGAAGCTGGACCATGGAAGGATCCATTCTACCAGATATTATTATTGTCAACTACAATGCACCTCCGGAGCGTTTTAGACTTGAATCGACGGTCGCAAATACAATAATTATATCCATTCGGAACGGAACGTCGGGGCGTTCGAAAGTCGAGGTCCGACCGTATGTCGTAGAGCTCGGCCCAGGGAAAAAGATCCAGGGACTGTGCCCTGGTGAGAGAGTTTCCATAGGTGGAAAACTATTCTCATGAAGCTTTTAGTGAATAGGCAGAGAGGGGGGAACTGCAAAGGTTGGCGTGTTAATAATCACGATCCAGATGAAAATCCGATCCAGGCTCATATTTTATCATTTATTTCTAGGCGCATCTGTCGCTCCGAATAAATTAAGTGATCGCTGCGACTGCCGTCGCCGATGATCTCGGTTTCGATTTCTGCGTCAAGCGGATCGTGATGACAAGCGTGATGAAGGAGAGAGCCGATAACGTTGTATACACCAGAACGACCTGCTCGTAGGAGAAGAAATCCAGAAGGATTCCTCCCACCAGGGGTCCGATGGTCCCTCCGAGGGCGGTGACCGGTGTGAAAATAGCCGATAACACGGCATATGTCTCCTTGGTTTCCTTGCCGTCGCCTAAATAACGGAGGGATTGCAGGTACGAGCACACGTATGCGGGACCAGATCCCAGGCCCAACATTATCTGAGCAATGTAAACGTGCGTTGTCGTCTGCTCGAAATTGAGTAGTGGTGCCTGCAAGATCATCGCGACGACGAGAGTGAATTGTCCGAGAGCGGTGAAGTATCGGGGCTCGGATACCTTTTTCGACATGAAGCCCGACGCCAGACCTGACAGTGCGTAGAAACCACCGACAAAGAGGAACACGGCCCCGGATTCTCCCGCGGTCATTCCGAATTTGTTGTAGAGCCGCAGGGCGAGCGTTGCTTCATTGAAGGAAATCAGAGCGAATGTGTTGAGCGAGCAGAGAACGTTCACGACAATCGGGAACTGCCACGCCGATGAAAGCTTCATCTCGTTCTCGTCCCCGTCCTCATCGTTCCGTGGCAAACTGCTCGGGAAGGCGAAGATGCCGACGATCGCAAGAGTGAGCAATGAGCCCCCGATGACGAGAAAAGGTACGGGAAATCCACCGATATCGTAGAGGATTCCACTGATCGCCGGGCCGATGACGACCGCCACCCCATAGCAGGTTTCGAGCAGAGGAATAATAATGTGATTGATTTCTGGCGTTTCGACTCCGATGATTACGTACGCCATGAAGAAGCCGATCGCGCAACCACAGGCTGCGCACAGCCGCAGGATCAGAGACGCGAGGAAAAACAAGATCCCGCCTCCAATCAGACACACAGAGCTCATGATCAAGCAAAAACACGAGTCCACGGTCAGACCGGTGAATAGAATCGCTTTATCCGAGAACTTTCTGGTCCTGAGCACTGCCGCGCACAGCGGGGTCATGGTCATGACGGCGAACGCGTACGCGCCCATGACGATCCCGTACTGAGTGGAGGACAGATCTTTCTCCTCGAGCGCGTATTTGTTGAAGAACGATGTCACATGCGAGAACGTCGATCCCTGCAGGAGACAGGCCGTGAAGACGAAGAAGAGAATCTTCGACACGCGGCTCCAATCGAGTTTAGATTTCGACGCGAGCTCGGCCATCGCGCGTTCTCCTTTTCGCTCCTCAAAAACACAGTGTGGAGCATCCGGAGCGCAGTTTATCGGAGGAGCTGAGGAAGCGTTCTAGAGGAATCACAAACTCACGAATCAGAGAGAGGAGGAACGTGCGATTAGCCGACAGACTGACCGACGACCCGACGGATTCCTGGTCTCGGTTGACCCTGAAGTTGAAGAGAGGCTTACGTCTCGTTGAAGAGTAGTACGCGATTATTATCGTGTCATTGACGCCGCCGCTCGGGAGAAGACATCGCTCGGATTGCTAACTTGGTCTGAGTTCGCGACCTTGCGGCAGTCTAAACAGCGTGAAGAATGAGTTTCTGTCTTAGCTTAACGAACCCATGCTCGACTGACTTTCGCCACCGTTCAACTCCATCTCGAGCTTTCGTTTCGAGATCGTTGGAAACATGGAGAGCGTCATCGAGCTATAAAAGAAAAGTCGGCATTCAGTGCGAGAGATTGTGAGTCGAGCTTTTTTACGGCGGGTTATAATTTGGAGCATCATTCATCCTCGATTCAATTGAGCAAACCGCCCCTGTCTCGGTCCTTTGAGCTAATTTTTCGACATGAACTGGCAAACCTTCGCCCGGGAAAGAGATTACGGTCTGATGGAGAGATAGGATACTCTCGGATGATGTCAGTCGACCAGAGCTCTGCCCGGCGACGTGAAAACGGGTGAATTCCGGATAAAAGCGTGTAGATGATGTCATTCGGGGCTTCCACCGTCCAAAGCCGTTGGAGGACGCTAGTCGGGGAGAGAACTCCATTGAAGGCTCTCCCTGATCGTTATTTCCCTGCAGCTCCGTGAAGACAGTCGATTTCTGATGGCATGCACATAGATATTATCGTGAAGACGCGGGGAGCGCGGATCCCGCGGCCGCCCTGCGCGGTCGTTCTGACCCCTAGTGGAGCCACTTACCGAACTACCGAACGAGCAGCGGTTAGACAATTTTGCCCCCGTGCTCCAGAGCTCGAGGCTGTGGACTTTTCATAATTAGCGGGACCACAAGATCCTCGAGCTGAATCAACTCGAGGGGCTACCCGACGATCGCCACTCGTAGTTTTCATTTGTCCCCGCCGACACCGCGTGCAACGGTGTGTTCGATATAGCGTCGCTCTAATTACGATGTTCCCGTCGAGAAGACAGAGATTCGCGGAGATCGAACCCAATTATATCCGGGGGAAGCACTATCGCCAGGGACGCCCTGGTATCGCGCAGGGAAATCCTCGATAGTGAGTCGTCAATCCGTGAAGTTTTCGTCATCTTCAGCCGAGGGTTGAGGCGTCGCGTGGAGAGACTGCCGGAGGTCAGCGAAAAAAAAGGAGCCCGGGAATAATTGACGAAAATCAAGGAAGGCGAAGAAGCACGAATTCGTCGTCGTTCCTCTCATCGAAGGGGGGACAACGTGTACATCCAAAGCCTACTCGATCATAAAACTCACTTACTCCTTCCTTCACTCAAGGAGAATGAGCAACTGACTCAGCACATGGGCCGGCGAACGGGAATTCTCGACGAGCCCTGCGTCAGTCAACCTTTTCAATCGGCCCGTCGTGTCGAATTGGCTCAATTCTGAGAGACACTCCAATCCAAGATTCCCTTCGACGACGAGGGAGACAGCGACCCTTTCGTTTCCATCGCAATATTCACCGTCCATACGTATTCGCTCCTTCTTGCGCTCACATGTGTACGTATAAATGTCGTATCCTCCACCGTTCGAGTCGAGGCAAAAGCTCACGGATGACCGGCAGCTTCGAGATATCTGTGAGTCCGCGCATCCCATTCGTGGAGCGACCACGAGAGTCTCCGCAGAACGGATTTTTTTCAACCATCGTGCCTGCAATGGAGCTCTAAGTGGCGAGATTCTACCGCCTATGTTGGTTGAGGGATTCACCCGACTGAATTTCTGGCTCCGGTCCATCTGGCTCCACCGAAAATCTACGAGCTTGGCGTCTCTCCCTCTGTTCCCTGAAAATTATCGTGTGGCAGCCCCGCTGACGTGTCGACAGAAGCGCCGCGTCGCGCCGCTGACTCATCGGACTCCATCCGCTGAAGAGAGTAGCTGCTTGGCGGGACATTTTTCGCGCGTTATTTTCTGCTGTTCTCCTGGGCACGTCGAGCATCGCGTTAAGCTGTATATGTGTTAGTGGGTGCTACCCCCCCCCGGTCTCCCGGCCGCTTCTGTGTGATATTAGAAGCGTCCGTTTCGCTCTCTCTCTCTCTATGGGCTTTATCCACATAAATCAAGATGAAATATTCCGCGCCATTTAGGGCGCCCACTGCGTACCACCCGACCCTGTCGCCCATTGCTCAGTCGCTCCTTGGCCGTGCGCCCACCCGCTCGACCGAGCGGCGCGCCGATCTCGGTTTCCGAGACGAAGGCGACGGCATCCAGCTGACCCACCGAACGAAGAAGAGGAACCCCCTGCGAGCGTCCACTTTTGCCGCAACGAAGCGAGCTAAGATGCTGTTGAGACCGCCGCTGCTCCGACCTGATACGGATATGCGAAACCAAATTCCTTGCCGCCGCAAGAGTTCGAGCCGGGGGATTCCGCCCGATTGGCTGTGGTATGCAACGTGCCAGGCGTGCACACAACGTGCATCCCATGCCGTCTTCAGGAGCAGCCAATGCTTTTATAATGCGCGTTCGGTCGACTGTTGCGACTCGCTGCGACTTGCTGGTTTTGCCGCTGCTAAAGCTGCTGACTTCACCTTCGGAGCTTCGAATCCTCTCGAGGGGTTCTCCTCCTCCTCCTCTCGCTCGTTGTGTCGGAGGTTAAATTCTTGTACCGCCGACTCTCGACAATATCTATTTGCATTTGGGAGACACGTCGCGCGGCCGTGGTCTGGAGCGTATCCCCTCTCATAACATCACGTGAGGATATCATGCGCCGCCATATCGCCAAACGTATTTCAGCGTTGTCGGCCTGACGATGCGACCCGAAGTAATCGATCGCAATACAGTTCGCTTCGCTGTGCAACCCATCATTGTCTGGGGGTGCCTATGATTGAGGCTCAAGATCCGATCGCGATTCGGTACATAATTCTGTCAAACAGCACAAACTAGTTGCCCAAAGGACCCGTTTTAATCAAACCGTTTCGGGAAGGGCAACGTATTTTTTCTCACTTCGAAAGCGCTCCTGAATGATAAGCCCTGATGACCTCTACAGCTGACCCTCCGACCCCATCATTGGGATCCTTAAGGCTCTCGAGTTCTTCAGAATTTTCGAATTTTACCGGCTTTTTTGAATGTTTTCGAAGACTATTGGAGATGGGAAGATGATTCCTTCTCTGCGAATTGGTCGGTGCCAATGTCCTCGGAGGGAGACTCCTTCGCCTCCTTGAGATCCTCGTAGTTTCCGATTTACTTGCGGATTATTTTGGCACATGATCGCGAGAACTGTCGAAGATGCGAAGGGCAGTCTCATGAGCCTCTATAATCGCCTCAACGACCTCTTTGGAACGGCTCTCGGTCTCAAGCTCGAGATTCTCGTAGTTTTTGACTGTGGGCATTTGCGAAACCCGGATTCCGAAGACCGTTTTTCTTCCGATACGAAAAAAGGCACCTGAATACCAATCTGCGACAGTTGATCATTCATTTTTCATTCTCCCTCGATCTGAACATTCAACCGGTGTGTGCGGCAAGATTCTGCCCTCGCGAATCGAAACCAGAAAATCGAGCGAGGCTCCCTCGCTCACAAACGTGCATCCTTCGATCCGACGCAAGGAAGTGACACAATCCAATGACAAGCAGTCTTTCGTCGAATCCCCTTCTCTCACTTAGAGTACTTTCCCCGGGCGCGGATCAACACGAATTACTCCTCCAATTCGAACCCTTATCCTCTTCCTCTTCTTCACAATAATATCGAAATAGCTCGTTCTTTTCTTCAACCCCAGATGGCCTACTCCGAGATGTCATTCACTCAAACTCATCTTGAAGTGCAAAAAGTTGAGACGGAAATTCAATCCAATGAAACTCATGGATTACTCCGCATTTCTCTCAAAAATCTCTCGCGTGATCCCCGCGTCAGAATACTGACCAAGAAGTCTCGGACTGAATCATGCTGGGAGCCTACTCCCCTGATGATATGTGTCTGTCACATAAATAAAACATGGCATTCATCAGAAGGAAAGTTTTGTGATCGAGAGCCGCACCGGATCGGAACACGATGCGGGCTATTCTTACGGTTTATTCTGGAGAGCATATGCAACGAGATTGACAGGACGTCGATAGCATATTGCGTTCGACGAGTCGAGCGGCTCCGACCGACCAACTTCAGCAACTTATGAGATTCAGGGGACTGCTGTATGCAACGACAGTTATCGCCCGAGGCTCAAGGGTGTCCAGCCGAGTGACCGCCCGCCGGAGCCGCCGATCGCGTGAGCGGGCGAGCGAACCCCTTAGCGACCCGCGGGCCCTCTCGATACGCCACCACCCCTTCGTTTCGTCGTTCAGCGTCCGCTTGTCGACGTGCTCCCGATCGTCCGCTTGACAGTCGGTCGGTCGGTCGGTCAGTCACTCAGCCGACAGAATCCGCCGTCCAGCCAGCCAGCTAGTCAGTGAGTTCAGCTGGGTACTGTCAGTCGGTTCCTCGTTCGATCGTTCGCTCTGCTCGGGCCAAGAGGCTCTTCGATGACTGTCAAAGATGGGATGGATTCGTCTTCTTATATGTAAATAGTCGCTATCTATTAGCTTATCGTCTCTCCGTTCCCCTGAGAAGAGTCCGTAGGGGTGCCGGCGCCAGCCATAGAGAAAGGTTCAGGCGCAGGATGAGAATTATCATAATATTACCATCGGGACAGGGGCAGACGGCAAATACATTTGTCATCGGACAGAGCGAGACGTCGACAACCCCATGGCCGGCGTCATCATCGCAGACGGCCATGAGGGCCCTTTTACACGACAGCGACGACGTCGTCTATTACGATAACAACAACGACCACGACAATGACGGAAACCAAGTCGAAATGAACCATGGGAGCTTTTGGCTAACACATTGCTGATGATTTTGCTCTCTGAGAAATTAGGACTCCCCGGTAGACGGCATTTCTCGAGCCTCCGCAAGTAAATTATGAGACACTTTCCTAGGGCGAAGCAGAGGGCCGTCGTTCCCCGGCGAGCCTCGATCGTCATACGCGATTTGTTGCAATGAACTCGGTCTCTCGCGGATCGATCGTCAAGATCTTAGCGGATCATACCCTCGTAATCGACTGCGGAGCGAGGCGATTTTTCCATTGTGAGGAATTATTCTTCGCGCCCCCTGAAAGGAAAGGACGCCCCGGCTGAAATGTTGAGGCGACCCGGGCTTTTTTCTCCCGAAGACAGGTCGACTGGGCGGCGCGGCGGCAGCACTCCGTGATGGTATCCTTCCCCA